CACTACGCCAACATTGCCATCTGGCTCTTCGCCACCATCGTGCTCTACATTGGCAACCGCATGCTCTCGTCTGCGACCATCCAAGCGCCGGTCGTCATCCAGAAGGCCGCCGCGCACCCGCACGAAGTGACCGAGTTGACGTTCGAGTGTGCTACGTCGTACCAAGCCGGCGACGTTGTCTACCTCAAGGTGCCGTCGGTGTCCAAGACGCAGTGGCACCCGTTCAGCGTTGCGTCGACGCCGCTGCACACGCCTGGCTCGCTCACGGTGTACATCAAGACGCTCGGTCAGTGGTCTGGTCAAGTGCACGAATACATTCGTCAGTGCACGGCTTCCGGTGTCGACCCCGTCGTGTACATGGATGGTGGCTACGTCTCGCCCGCACTCGTTCCAGCGTCGTATGAAAAAGTGGTCTTCATCGGCGGCGGCATCGGCGTCACCCCGCTCATGGCCCAGATCATGCACATTCTGCACACGGCGCCGTCGCAGGAAGTCCATTTGGTTTGGCACGTGCGCGACCTCCGCATGATGACGCAGTTCCAGCAGTGGTTCCACGAAACGACGGGTCTCTCGTCCAACTTGCGCCTCCACCTCTTTGTGACCAAGTCTTCGCCGCCCGCGGAAACGGCGGTCGCCAAGCAAGTGTACGACCTCAAGAGCTCCCATGTGGCGCCGCGACCGTACGCCAACGTCTCGACGTTGCGCCAGGTGCTCTTGTTTGTCGCTGCGTTCTTTGGCGCCGGCACGCTCCTCCTCGCGGTTCACTATGGCAACAAGATTACGAGCATCGACCCGTCGTACTGGCCGCTGCAGCGCTTCGTCGAGTTTGTGGCGATGGTGGTCGGGTCGTACTGGGCGTACATTGTGGTTTTGATCAAGCCGTACAAGCCCATGCCGGTGGCCAAGACGCCGTTTGACGACGTGCCCAAGGAGCCAATGATGTCGGACGAGGCGTTCATCGAGCGCTACAGCGTCCAGCAAGGCCGCATGGACTGGTCGCGCTTCTTCTCGAGCCTCGTCGACGGCACGACCACGAGCTGGACGTCGCCGGCGATCGGCGTCTACGTCTCGGGCCCCAAGACGCTCTCGCGTGCGATCGATGAGCAAGCGCACTCGACGCGCTTTGCCGTGCACCACGAAGAATTTGAAATGTAAAGTGTTCCAGTTGTCTTGCTCGCAGTAACTGGACCATAATATGAGCAATGGTTTGTATATTCATTACTTATCCTGTCCTTGTGTGCCGTCAAGCCGTTGAGGGACAAGACTAGCTTGTAGGGTTCGGAGGTTTATCCGCAGCTACATCCGTGGGAAGACTCTGTCGAGCAGAACAAACTGCGTGGTTAAGCTGTCGCCACCCTCATTTCATGGCTGGGCGTGGCGGCAGTTTATTTACGTAGTGCTTGTGCTTTGGCACTTGTTGTCGAACGCTCCTAGTCAATCCAGATAATGGTAAGCATATTTCTACCAAGTCGATCCTCATGCATGTCGTTCTCAGCGGCGCCGGCGCTCGGAGGCCCCTCCTGCTTGAAACGAGTGGCAGGAGTACCACCGACGTAAAACTCCCACTGGCGCACATTGTTCCGCCTTGATGTTTTCGATTGATGCCGCCGGAATGATCAATGACCGAGAGGCTTGGCCCAGGACATTTCGTTGGATTGCCCGACGGAGGACATGGCTTTTCAACATACGCCGCCACAAAGTCTTGCGACGCCACGAGAGTTGCCTCGAGCGACTAGAACGCGGTGGCACCACGACGGCACTGTCGCCCACAAGCCGTTGTCGTACCGCGAGCAATTCTTCTATCGGAACCACACCACCACGTCGGCTCCGACTCGTCATATTTGCCACACAGGATGCATGGATGTTTGCCATCAGCCAATCAGAACATTGAAGCGTGATGATGGGGCGTTTCTTGGCCGATTAAACCGTGGACTAGTGGTAACCAGGCAGAAATGGGGATAGGGTATGTCGCTAGTAACCGATAACGCGCTTGGGTTTATATGTGCGACGCTACGCGGACGCGGTGGCCATCAATTTAGTCGACCGGCAATGGCAGTGGCTCTTCACGCGACCTGTAGCGTCTGCTCCCTACGCACATGGTCTTTCATGCGGACGACTGCGCCTGCCCATGCGGCAGTCAGCCGAGTGGTCGCAGAACGGTTTCACGAAGGGCAGTTTTTACCCTACCCCAAGGTGACTTGCCTGGAGCAGCCAATCGGACGCTCGAAACACGATGATTGGATGCGTCTCAACCAATCCCTGGGTCGCATTGGTGGCCAAGATTTGTGGCGCGCCAAAACGAAGCCTCCACACCACACCCCGGGACGACAGAGTGTTTGGTAGATTTGCGACCACGACATCCATTCAAACACGACGGGTGGCTTTTCTCTATCGCCAGCCGCGCGGGTCGGTGGTCTCGCCGTGCTCAGCTGCGAATATTCCTCCATTTTGGCCTCATGCTCGGCAGTGTTGTGCAGGGATGATCCTTTGCAGGTGTCCTCTGTCACCGCCTTCGAGTGATGGTCAGAGCCGCAATGCGTGCGGCTTCCTACCTCGCCCAATGGGACTCGAGGCTGCCTCCTGGTTCACCCGTGATTGGGTGACACGATTCCCGTGGACTGCAGCCATCGGGAAAATGAAGTAATAACAGGCTTTCTTTTGCTTCCTTGTCAGTGCATTGTCAAGGAGCGGTCTGCAGCGTCGGCCCTTCGAACCCGACGACACATCAATAAATTTTTCGAACCCGACGACACATCAGGCTGTAAGAAATCCTAGCCACGCAGTGTGCTGTACCGTGGCACGGTCTGAGATGTGTGGGGTAGGATGCAAATATGAAAGTGATATTGTTCGTTATATAGGCTAGACCAGTGGTAATATGTGCAAAGTATGTAGTTCTGTTGGTCTAGAACGATAGCCGCTGTGTGATTTCTAACACCCCCCGTAAGGTCGACCTTCTTGGACAAGTCGAGCATGACCTTGGATCGCGCGGCGGCGTACACATGTACTTGCTCGAGCGCGTTGTTGAGCGATTCGGCGGGAAGTGCCTTCGTGAAGCAGTCGGCCGGCATGTCGCCCGTCTTGCAGTACTGGGCCTTGATGCAGCCGGACTTGATGGCTTCGCGTACAAAGTGGTAGCGGATGTCGATGTGCTTGGAGCGGTTGTTGACCGTGGGCTGCTCCATCGTCTGAAGCGCGCTTTGGTTGTCGCACCAGAGGTTGACAGTGGTCGTCTTGGGCACGAGCTTGACCTGCGCGAGGAGTGCCTTGATCCAGATGGCTTCTTGGGTCGCGATACTGGCGGCCACGTACTCGGCCTCCATGGTCGAGAGGGCCACCGACGACTGCTGCTTGGAGAACCAGTGGACGGGCGCACCGTTGATCTTGACGATGCAGCCAGACGTCGAGCGTCTGTTGGCCTTGTCACCAGCCCAGTCGGCGTCCGAGAAGACGTCGAGCGAGAGCGGGCCGCGGCCCTGCGTCGGGGCAAGCTGGAGGCCGTGCGTGCGAGTCGCCTTGAGGTAGCGCAAGATGCGCCGCAGTTGACGGCCGCGGTGCTCGTTGGGCGCGTTGAGGTGCCGCGCCATCAAGTTCGTCGCGTACGCAATGTCGGGGCGAGTGCAGCTAGACAGCCACAACAGAGAACCTACGATTTCGCGCATCTCCGTCGCGGACATGTCGCACGGGCCGCCTTCGTCGAAGATCTTGTGGTCCAGCGCAAGTGGCGTCGACTGCGGGTGGCAGTCGGACATCTTGTGCTTGGCGAGCAACTCGTCGATGAGGTACGTCTGCTCGAGGAACATGCCGGACTTGGAGCGGTGGACGTTGATGCCGAGGCAGCGCTTGATCGGGCCGAGCGTCTTGATGTTGAACTTGCTCTTGAGCGTGGAGAGAACCTTGTCGAAAGCGGCGGCGTCTTGCGAGACCGCGATGACGTCGTCGACGTAGAGGCCGATCATGGTGAGGCGCCCGGCCGTCCACATGTAGTAGAGGCACGGGTGCACGGGCGCCGTCGAAACCTTGGAAAGCTGTGGGTACTCGAGCGTCATGTCGTTGTTGAGCTGCAAACCTTGAGCGTTCTTGGACAGCAGAGTGCGCACGTTCTGCACGTGGCGCGACGTCACGATGCGGTGCAGGTCCGAGACCCACACGTCGCATGCTTTGGTCTCCGTCTTGACGCCGAGGGTGCGACCGACGACACCGCGTATCTTGATGCCCTTCTTCTTCGGCTCGATGGCCCATCGGTGGGCAACGTTGCTGTAGTCGGACGGTCGAGAGGCAAGCTTCGACGTACCGTTGTTGACGGGGCTGTCGTCGCCGCTCTTCATCGTCGCGATCTTGGGCGTCGTGAGCGCGAGCGCGGCACGTCCGTCTTTCTTCTTGAGGAGGCGCGCCGCTTGTCGTCTTGATGAGACCGTGGTGCACGTCGAGCGTCCGGGCGTCGTGTCTTCCTTGTACTGTAGGACTTGAGCGTCCGTTAGTAGTGGCGGACTCGCTGGTTGAGCTTGGTGCGACGCCTCTTCATGGTATAGGCCAGCGGCATCTTGAGCCTGAATGATGTAGCGGCCGGTCATGGTGGGATCGCCATCGAATAGCATGCGGCACAGGCGCTCGCTCGTGCCGTTGGACGCGCGGTTGTCAAGCTTGGACGCGTAGTACGAGTCGGGTGTAAACGAGCTTGTCGACGGTCGGGTAGACTCGAGACGTTGCTCGTCGTAGCGTCGCCGTTCGGGACGGTGCTCGGCAGAGCGGCTCTTCATCAGGTGGCTCTCTTCCAGGCGGCTTGCCTTCTCGTGGCGCTCTTCCTGGCGGTACTCTTCCTGGCGGCTCTCGCTCTGGGACTCGTCATCTCGGTGGCTCGCATCTTGATGGCTCTCATCTTGGTCTTCCTTGTCATCTTGGCATGCGTCGGTGGGACGCTGGTCGTTCTCGTACTGGCCGTGTCGATACGCGTGGTCCTGGCTCTTGTCGTTTTGGAGCCAGTCGTCGTCACGCTGTTCAGCCTAGCGCTCATGGTCGCGGCCTTGGCTATCGCGACACTCGTCGTCCTCGGCGGGCTGGACGGCGTGGCTGGTCATGCAGTCGTCCTTGTGGTACCGCCGCTTGTCGCGCCGCTCTTCGTGCTGGCGCGCGTCGTCCTGTTCGATCGAATCGTTGCGGCACTTGTTGCCGTGCTTGGCGTCATCCTGGCACGTCGCGTCATCGCGCGTGTTGTCTTCCAGATCTTGGTCGTCCTGGCGCGGATCATCGTCATCGCGCTGGTCGTCGTCGCCGGCTTGGTTGTCCTGGTGCGGATCATCGTCATCGCGCTGTTCAACCTGGCGGTCATCGTCGCGACATTGGCCGTCGTGACACTCGTCGTCCTCGACGGGTTGGACAGCATGAATGCGCACGCAGTTGACGTGGCAATGCTCATGGTCCCACCGCTCGTCTTCCCGCTTGGCGCAGCGCTCGTCGCAGCGCTTGGCGTGCGGGCGCGCATAGTCTAACTTGGGCGGAATGTGGCGGCACTGGGCGTCGCACTTGTCGTCGTCCTGACACTTGGCGTCGTCGCGCGGGTCTTCTTCGCGCGGATCACCATGGCGTCGGACTCGAGGGTGCGCGTCGTCCTTGCCTACGTCGCGCTCGCGTTGTGCGCACAGTCTCGCAACGCCGTTGGACGCGTCGTCCTCGCGCGCTGCGTCATGGCGTACGGCATACTCACGCTCGTCGTCCTGGCGTACGGCAGAATCTCGTGGCGCGTCGTGGCGGCGCTCGTTGCGCGGCTGGCGCTTCGGTCGGAGGCCGTAAGCGAAACCTGATCCCGTAACGGCGACAAGGTGCTGCACGAGCTCGTCCAGCATGGCGGGATCGTTGCGCCGGCGTTCGTCAATGTGGCCAGCGAGCAACGTCGTGTGCTCGGGGCACGCGTAGCTGCAAAAGATGTCGAGGACGGTGCTGCTCGGAATGCGCGCGATACGCTGAAGGTAGCGCATGTAATGAGCGTGCAAGGCCCACGTATCGCCGTAGCGCTTGGCCTTGCGCATGAGGGCCAAAACTTGGTCGTCCTCGAGCTTCGGCGCGTAGTGCTCGGTGATGCGGAGGGCGAGGTCGCGGTAGCCGTAGTTCGGGGTAGCGGCCATCCACGCGGCCTCGTTCGCGCGCACCCAATCGGCGGGCTCGGGGCCGAGACACATCTTGAGTGCTTGGTACTTGTGCTCGTCCGTCCAGGTCGTGCAGTGGAAGAACTCGTCGCTGCGCACTGCAGTGTTAAACCGGACCATGTAGTCGGCGAAAAGTGAACCGAGACCGGGGTACATTGCCTCGCCGGTAAACTTGTCCAGGCGAAAGCTCTCGAGGTTCGGCGACTGATTGCAGGCCATGACACCGTAGCCACCCTGAGGACTCGAGAAAAGGTACGCGCTGTACTTGCGCGGGTGGTCGTGTCGAGGTGAGGCGGTGTCGACCTCGATCGTATGTACGCGCAGCTTGTTGAGGTCAGTGACTCTCGCGGCTGCGGCGTTGACCTGGGACTCCTCGCGGGGCGAGAGCGTGAGCTTCTTCACTAGCGTCAGAGTCTTGGTCTTGCTCTTGGTTGAAGGGTCTTGAGGGAGGCGCCCGGTCGTAGACGTCGGACGCGCTCGACCAGCGGTCGACTTCGAAAACTCAAGAGAGAGGGGCCCAATCGTCAGCGGGCTGCAGTCAGTAGCGACGGCCTCGCTTCGTTGGGTGCTGGCTTGATCTGGCAAGCCAAGCGTGGGGCTCTGCGTGGAGTTGCCCAATAGGACGCGCTGCAGTGGTCTGGAGCGGTCGACTAAACAGTCACCCGGGGCTGCACCCGTGTCTTCGCGCACGCAACTTGGGCGGCGCGTCCGGGGCAGGCGCTCGTCGGGGACGGGCTTGTGGACGAGGGGCTCGGCGCACGTCTTGTGCGGGCAACGCAACGTCTTCATCAAGCCAAGAGACTTCGTGCCATGCGGCACAGCTCCTGCGGGCATTTCTCTTGGGCTCATAACCTGTAAGAAATCCTAGCCACGCAGTGTGCTGTACCGTGGCACGGTCTGAGATGTGTGGGGTAGAATGCAAAGATGAAAGTGATATTGTTCGTTATATAGGCTAGACCAGTGGTAATATGTGCAAAGTATGTAGTTCTGTTGGTCGGTCTAGAACGATAGCCGCTGTGTGATTTCTAACACAGGCAGCGCGCATCGTGCAGCATGGCTTCATTCCCCGATTTCCATGCGATCGCAACGCCCAAGCCAAACGAAGCGCTCCATAGCAACCCGGATGCCGACGAGATCGCCCCGACGCCTTTGAAGATCAAGGTCGCGCTTGCGGCGCACTGGGCCGTGAGCGTCATCATGGTCTACACCGTCTTCGACACTTGGTACACATGGAGAAACCTAATCGTCGTGAGCTTGTCCATATATATATATGAACGTGTTTCGCGTTATCTTCATAGTTACACAAAGACTTCGCATACGTAGAGACTAGCAATCTCCTTCTTCTTAATTCGCTCGCCGGTCCGTGGCTGCGCAGGCGGCGGCGCGGGGGCTCGTCTGGCTCTTCTGTCGTCGCCCTACGACGCTTGTGGCCGCGGGTGAGGCCCGTGAGCTTGTCCATACAGACTAAATTCTTATTTCCCGCCAAAATGCGTGCGGCGTTGTGTTATGCGTGGTCATCCCATTTTCAATCAAAATAATGTGTCATAATACTTCTATATGTACCGGTATACACGTGTACCGTGCTGACGTTGTTGTTGAAGTGGGTCTTCTATTAAAATAGATACGTAAATCTACGCTAAATAAAATTGTCGGACTTTCTTCGTTGTGTAGGCGCTGGTGATGATCTTGATCTAGGCCGGCGGCGGCAGGAGCGCGATCCGCGGGACAAGGTGCTGGCGCGGCCACTCGTGTTGAGCGAGGAGCCGTAGAGGTGACATAGAGCCATCTGCCCTGGGTTTTGAACGAGGCTGTGGTGCAAGTGCATTTGAGCGACACGCGCCGCATTGACGGCAATCGTCCATGGGCTTTGCAGTGGGAGGTCGGCGCGAAAGACGCGATCGTTGCGGACGCGCCAGACGTTGAACCAGACGCAGGCGCGGAGCACTGGCCAGAGGTAAGCTTAGCGGAACGCGGCTCGGTGCATGTTGGAGGCCGTCTTCGGCGTCGAGTAGAGGTAGCCCGAGAGTGTTGTCGGCAAGACTACACCCAAGGGGGCCGTGACCACGTTATCAAGAAAAAATGAATTATGGATTAGGTGCATACTACTAGAAGTAGAATTCGGCATCTCGACATGATCGCATATCAAGACCTACATTTCAAACTCTTCGTGGTGCAGATCAAAGCGCGATGCGTGCGTCTCGGCTTCGATCGCGCGCAAGAGCGTCTTGGGACCCGAGACAAACACGCCGATCGACGCACTTGCTGCCGTGGTGTCCTCGAGACCCGCAAAGAAGCGCGACCAGTCCATGCGACCCTGCTGTACGTTGTAGCGCTCGACGAACGCGTCAGTCGACATGGTCGGCTCCTTGGGATACTCGTCGACCTGCGACCGCGCGACCGGCACCGGGGTGTACGGCTTGACCAAGACGACGACATAGGCCCAGTAGGCGCCAACGACGATCGCGAGAAACTCCACCAAGCGCTGCAGCGGCCAGTACGACGGGTTGGCGGTCGTGATCTTGTTGTTGTAGTGCACCGCGACAAAGAGCGAGCCAGCGCCAAAGAACGCTGCGACAAACAAGAGCACTTGGCGCAGCGTCGACACATTGGCGTACGGCCGCGGCGCCACAGTCGAGCTCTTGAGGTCAAACACGTGGTTGCGGCTCGCAAGCTCGGACGCCGGCGACGTCTCAGTCACAAACAGATGCAAGTGCAAGTGCGACGAGAGACTCGTGGCTTCGTGGAACCACTGCTGGAACTGGGCCATCATGCGCGCATCGCGCACGTGCCAGACCAAATGGACGTCCTGCCACGACTGCGCGTGCAGCGTGTGCATGACCTGGCCGAGCAACGGGGTGACGCCGATGCCGCCGCCGACAAAGATCACCTTTTCGTACGACGCCGAGACGAGTGCGGGCGCGACGTACCCGCCATCCATGTACACGACGGGGTCGCTACCGGAAGCCGTGCACTGACGGACGTATTCGTGCACCTGGCCAGACCACTGGCCTCGCGACTTGATGTACACCGTGAGCGAGCCCGGCGTATGGAGCGGCGTCGACGCAACGCTGAACGGGTGCCACTGCGTCTTGGAGACCGACGGCACCTTGAGGTAGACAACGTCGCCAGCGTGGTACGACGTCGCACATTCAAAAGTCAGCTCGGTCACGTCGTGCGGGTGCGCGGCCGCCTTCTGGACAACGACCGGCGCCTGAATCGTGGCCGACGACATCATGCGGTTGCCAATGTAGAGCACGATCGTGGCGAAGAGGTAGATGGCAATGTTGGCGTAGTGCATGATCGCAAAGGCCGTGGCGGGAATGAAGAGAAAGTGCGTGTAGTAAAACACCTTGTAGTAGTGACGGCGCACGTACGGGAGCGACGTGAGGCCCATGACGACCATGCACAAGAACGCGATCCAGCCAAAGGTGTTGATCCAGTTCATCTTGCCTTCCTTGGCCACGTTGCAGTTGAAGCACGGCAGCAGCGTCATCGCGTCATTGGCAGCCACATACACTTGGATGGAGAAGGCCGTGTGCAGCGTCGCGCAGAGAATGGTCGCGACACCGAGCCAGCGGTGGTACTTGACGGCGTGCGAAAATGGGATACCGAGCCACTCCATCCAAAAGCAGTGGCGCGACGCGGGCAGCGCGAGGAACACCATGTTGTACATGGCCGAATATCCGAGCGCTTTGGCAGCGAGTGTGATCTTCTCCTGGGTCTTGCTGCCGGCCTTGACGCGTGTGCTGTAGTAGTAGTAGAAGAAGATGATGTTGCCGACAGCGACAACGAGCAAGAAGAGGATCTCGCCGTAGCTCACGAGTGACCCGAAGATGCGCGGCTTGCGCTTGAGCAGGTGCGAAACACCCGGGACCGGGAACGACGCGCCTTTGCTCACGAGACGCACGAGCAAGAAGGCCACAACGACCGGGAGGATCACACCAAAGAAGAAGTACGACGCAGTGACCATTTCGGGACGACCCGAGTTCTTGACTTTGGGGTTGATGTTCCAGAGCGGGTTCAAGAACGTCGTCGTGACCGGCGCCACCATCGGCGTAGAGATCACCGTGATCGAAAAGACCGAGAAGGCCAAGAG